TACCTCATGGGGTGTCTGTTGTGGGGAAAGGAGTTTGTAAGCTGCTCTGAGACTCTGAGTGAAGGGCGGGGTATAAATCCAATCTCTTCTTCTTCTTCTTCAAGAGGTGGGACAGCTGCTGGGAACTGGAGCTTCTGGCAGGGCCCGCTGATGCTAACACCCATGCAGCTCCTGACATCCCCATTCGCCCACAGCCTAGTGTTGCCAGGTATGGGCAGGGGTGCATCTGCTTGACCCGCATTTTTTTGTCTGTGCTTATCTGTGACCTTGCTAGCTAGCTATCTGTGTAGAGCAGTGGTGGCCCCCTCTGTGGGCACGTGTGCCATCGCCCCAGCCAGGCCCCAGACCATCATTAAAGTGTCGAATTCTTTGCCAGATAATTTTAAGTGAATGAAAGCATTTGGGATTGCTTTCCTTACTTTGTTTGGATCATCTTAAATTAATGTATGAGTTGTTTTTTCTAAAGTAAAACCTCAGTATTCAAGTTAAATTGCCGTGTTGGCACTTTGCGATAAATAAGTGGATTTTGGGTCGCAGTTTGGGCACTCGGTCTCTAAAAGGTTCGCCATCACTGGTGTAGTCTTCCCACCTATTACCCGTGGGATATGTTTCGATTCCCAGCTTTGGCGTTTAACGGCCTGGGGCCCCATTGGGAGTCAGGCCGATTGGCCTAAGAGTGTGGGGGGGCATACGAATACCCTATATCCCATTATGCTTGTAGGAAAGTAGCCATTCCTAACAGTGCTGATGTTACAGCCTCTATAGCTCTTACATTAAAGTCCTTTGTTTGGCTGTGGATCCTGACAGGGTGGTGCACACAGCAGAGGGGCTCCTGCTAGCCATAGGCAATGGCATTCTAAGCTGCACCCACTGCCCAGCCCCAGAGGAGAAAGGCCATGCAAGCCATGCGGGCAGCTGTAACTGCGGGCGGTAGGAGAGCTTGCAAGTGCAAAGGACACCTAAGCATATGGGGGCAAGCGGGTCAGTAGGCAAGAAGGGGGAGGGCTGGTGGAGGCCCAGCTCCCCCCCCGCCCCAAGCCTGGAACCGGCCCTGAGCAATCCACACGTGTTCCCCTCAGCTTTCTGGAGAAGGATGGAATATGCAAGTAGATCTTTGTGGGAGTGAATGCATGCCTCAAAGCAGAGAGCAGACCACTGGAGCACGGAGCGCAGGTGGGCACAGCCTCTAATAAGACACCAGCTCAAAGCTCTGTCTGATCCACTTTCAGTTCAGCGTGCAAACGGAGGTCGCTCCCTCGCGCTCAGCTGCAGGTAAATTGGCCGCTCAGGAAAAAAACGCCAATATTATAAAGAGCCACGAGGTTCTTTTGTGGGACTCAGGGAGAGCCACTTGCAGGGATCAAGCGGGGCAAGGTGGCCGTCGTGCCTTCCATACTGATTTGGCACCTAATTGACGCCCAGCATGTTCCTGCCCAGTAGTCTGAGGTTGTGGTTGGAAGGCACATGGTACAGACACCTCCCTGAAGCTTCCTGATCAGCACCCAAATGGGAAATTGATTGGGAGGCCTCATGTAAGCGAGATTAGCTCATCCCTCCTGTTTCAACCTGCATAGCCCCGTTTCAGGGTTGCTTCTCCCTTGTGCATATTGAATCCATTATTCTTCATTTTGTGCCATTTTTTAAAATGTGTTTCTTTCCACTGAATTCTCTTTTTTATTATATGCATACTAAAAACAACCTGTGAGACTCACTGCGGGGGGGGGGGAGACTATAGTCTCACTTTGCTTGGCAGTTCCTCTTCCCCCACCCGCTGCCCACTTGTGGCATTTCTGCCTCTGCCCACTGCTTCACATGGCAGTGGGGGGGGGCAGTTCCTGTTCCTTCTGCCTGATTGGTACACAGAAAAATATCCCCTCTCTGCTTGGCTCATTCTCTAGGTTTTTTGATCCACTTCGGGGCCACGTTCAGAATCAGATATATGATCATACTTCTAAGTGACATACAGTGTACATATAAACACTATAGAAGGTAAAGGTAAAGGTTTCCCTTGCTTGGAAGCTAGTTGAATCCGACTCTAGGGAGTGGTGCTCATCTCCGTTTTCGAGCTGAAGAGCCAGTGCTGTCCAAAGATGTTTCCATGGTCATGTGGCTGGCATGACTAAATGCCAAGGTGCACAGAATACTGTTACCTTTCCACCGAAGCGGTACCTATTTATCTACTTGCAATTTCTTGCTTTCAAACTGCTAGGTTGGCAGGAGCTGGGTGCATATAAAAATGTAGAACCTGTACAAACAAATCTGCAAAACCAACAGTGAGTGAGTGAGTGAGTGAGTGAGTGTGTGTGTGTGTGTGTGTGTGTGAGAGAGAGAGAGAGAGAGAGAGAGAGAGAGAGAGAGAGAGAGAGAGAGAGAGAGAGAGAGAGAGAGAGAGAGAGAGAGAGAGAGAGAGAGAGAGAGAGAGAGAGAGAGAGAGAGAGAGAGAGAGAGAGAGAGAGAGAGAGAGAGAGAGAGAGAGAGAAGACCCAAAGGAGGTGACATTCATTTATCCCTCACTCGGTATATATATTTATATTTATTGTATGGCAGAGTTACACACAGGAAGCATGTAATAATATAAAATATGTAACCAAGCTGGTATGGGTATGCAGACCCATTGGGCAAGCCCCCTAAATACGCTCAATGCTCAGTTTCCTGTGACAGATGAAAAATAGTTTGGTGGGCTGCACCCCAACCGCATGGGGTGCAATTCTAGCTCGCCTCCTCATGGTGCACCCTGAGGTGCTAGAAACGTCTGGCTGCCAGACAATTGTAAGATCTCCTGGCTAAACTACACACATGGAAACAACCAACCAATCAAACGGTCCTTCTCAAGACTCCTTGACAAGGGGTATAGGAGACTGCATCCGAATCTGCCCTCACTCGGTGTGCACTGTGATGGAAGGCAGGGCAAAACAGTAAATAAATGCATATGCACTTTCCTTTGATTAGAACCTTATTAAGGGAGCGTGGGTTACGAAACAAAACTGAAGCAGGGTGTAGAGAGATGGGTTCATTCAATGTGCTCAGGGATCACACTCCAAGGCCTCTCTTTTAGGCACTGAAATTCAACAGGGTTCTAGTGTGGGCCCATCACCATGGTGCCTTCTTCCACACAGTTGAAAGGCAGCATTAAGCCCCCTTGGGAGAGACGCGGACAGCACATGTGCCTCATGCAGACACTTCCAGGCAATGCTCCCTCTAAGCTATGGAGTCTTGTGAGCGAAAATTCTGCTTTGTGAGCTACTGGCATTAAAGTTGTGAGCAAGCAATTTGTCTGCTGCATAAATGAGTTTGCTATGGAGCCACCCTTCCCAAGCTGGGACACAAATGTGTGAGCCGGCAGCTAAAAAGCTGTGAGCTAGCTCACACTAACTCAGCTTAGAGGGAACACTGCTTCCTGGTCAAGGATCTCGGAGCAAGACCTTTCTCTGCATTGAATCCCCAGGGAACCTCTCCAAGCCAGACCTGGAGCACACACTACCAGAGGAGATGGAACAGTGGCAGCTGTCCAAGCTCATATGTTCACCTGGCCAAACCTACTTTAGAAAGTGCTTGAAGTTTGTTTAAAGTCCAGTTAAAGGCAAGGAATCCCCATTCACCCAGCTGGTTATCTGGATACAGCTAGAGAGGAGAGGATTTCCTCTGTTCTCATCTGGTCATGCTGGTTAATTCTGCTTCGCATTCCACTTACCTGAATCCAGTTGTGCTAGGAGAAATGCCAAAACTGAGGCATGCTCAACCCCCCCTCCCATTTTCAATTCCTGAAATTCTTATGTAATGTTTCCTCTCTGTTGCTTATGCCCATAACCACATAGCTATTTTCTTGCAGAATTTTATCAGTCCTGATGCCATCATTTGCACAATTATATCCAGATGCTTTTTTGTGGTGTTTTACTGATGGATGCATTGGTATAACACCGCACACAAAAAGAGATCTGATTCCACAACACATTTTTATTGTGCTTTCTATCACAATCCTTTCTGGTGCCTTGTCTTTACCATTGCACAGGAGCACACTTTGGCATTTCACTGATGCGCTCAGCCAAATGTGATACAAAAAGAATCCTGCCGCATTTATACACACAATTACGTAGTGGGTTTATCAAGGCACATGTGTGCAGCCCATCATTGGAAGGAGGGCGATTCAGATTATGAAAGTGGAAGCAGCAGGAAACTTCAGAAATTCTCCCAGTTAGCCTGGAATTGAGAAGAAATGAAATACAGGGTAGTGCAAACCCACAGGACAACAAAGGAAAGGAACCCGGGAAACCTGATCCTCAATGTGTGTGTGCTTGTGAGCAAAAGAGAGGAGGGGGTGTTTTTTTGTTCCCTGCCCTTACAAGAGCAAACAGGCTATCTTCTTCCCGCACGCATGGCTCCCAGACACATAATCCCTTTTTATCAGATCTTTGGAAGAAAGAGGAGCTCTCTCTCGCTCGCTCGCTCTCTGCGTCCAGCCCTCGCCGTTTATCTCGTCTTCTCCAGAGTTCTGGCCTTCATCTCCCGCTCCCCTCCTCCAGGAGAAGCGAAGGCCAGGGCAAGGAACGTTTCCCTGACATCCCCTTCCTTGAGATACGCTGACAGCCCCGCTAAGCACAGCCACTGTCTTTTCATTCGTGCTGGGAAACCAATTCACGTCGAGGCTGCTGGAGAGACGTGACACAGTCGAAGGCAGCAAGACGGGACAGCGGGGGTTCTTGACAGCCTTCTTCGGAAAAAATATGTTGGTTTTTTAAAAAAATGTAATGTAATATGAATTCGTCGCGCCCCCCCCCCCTTCCCCGGAATACCACACTGGTCTCAGGAAAATATTCTCCCTTTCTGAGTCATTTGCTGCCTTGAGCTGACTTTCCTCACCCCCCCCCCCCCTTTAGTGGGGAGTGGAAGGGGGGGCTATTTCCTCCCCGAGCCATAAATTACATGCAAATGCCTTTTGTGCCTCTGCCGCCTATATATATGTGCGTGTGAGCGCGTGTGCCTTTCACCAGCGCGCCCGGGATCCGGAGAGAGGCTGCGCCTTTGATTTGCCAACTGCGAGCGCTCCCGAGCCCCCTTTTGCCCGCAGGCATCCTATTACAGGAGACCGCGCTCCCGAGCCAGGCGCAGCTATATAAACCCGGAGAAGCGGCTGGCTTTGACCGCCCTTTGCCTTACCGTCCGGCTTCTCTCGCCCCTTCCCCCGCCTTGACGCCCACCTCCACCGTAGCCGAGGCAACTTTTCCCGAGTTTCTTGCAGGACAGAGAGAGAGAGAGGCGAGGCGCGCAGGCTTTGGAGCATCCCCGCTCATCTCATGGAGACCTGGCCAAGCAGGACCTAATTTATAGCACAGGCAAGGAGGTAAGGCACGGAGAAAGAGATACCCCCCCCCCTTCTCCCCCAGAAAGATGATGCTTTGGAGGACAGGTTCCCATTTCGAAAAGTTTTCTTTTCTTCGGGAGATGTTGCCGAGGTTTGGGATGTGCTTTTGAAGTTGTGTTTCTTTGCACTGTCAGACCGGATCGAATCCGGGTTTCCATGGTGCCGCTGGGGACGCATGAATGAGCCAATGAATGAATGGATGGATGGATGGCAGGCTGAAAGCTATCCTCAGAGATGCGTAGGGACAGAAATGACGGTGGCAAAGGAAAGGCACAGGGACAATGGCATTGTGGGGGTCCGATCCAGGGTCCCAAAGTCAGATCTATTTTTGGAGACCTCAAGGAATTGAAAAATCGATGGGAACTTGGTCTCAGGACAACCCTGGTGCCTGTAAAAAAGCAGTTCCTCCTCCTCTTCTGGTTAGAGTGGATTCTCTCTCTCTCTCTCTCTCTCTCTCTCTCTCTCTCTCTCTCTCTTTTTCCCTCCTCCAAAAGTGCGGTTATGTGTGCATGTGGCGTCCAGGGCAAAAGATGAGAAGTGGAGGTTTGGCACAGATCTTTTCATGTCTAGGACTGGAAGCAGGAAAATCTCTGAGGGTGGAATGAAAAGCATTTCTTTCTATAGTTAAAAGGAGTGAGCTCCTTTTTCCACATTTGGTCGCGTTCCTTGCTTATTCAGCTCCTCTACAACTTTTGTACTTCTTGACTGGCTGAATAGAACATCTGTGCTGGTTTGGATCCGAGGGACTGAATAATAATAACAACAATGAAAGAATAAGGGGGTTTTGTAGCATTTGGCTTAGTTAACTAGCTGGATCTGACTTCTCAATGTGCAGACTCTTTCCTGCGTTTGGCGGTCTTTGGGATTTATGATATGGAACATTTGTCTTGCTCTCTTTTAAGGCACATGCTAAGCCTTGCCTTGCCCAGTACAAATCTGAGACTCAGCACTCAATCCTGTGCGTGTTGACTGAGAAGTAGCCATCACTGAATGGAGTATTGCTTGCTCCTAAGGCAAAGTGCTTAGGTTCACAGGCTTAGTTAAAAGCCATCACATACCACTTAAAAAACACAGGTGCAATCCAGCTAAGAGATGCTGAATTCTGCCTAAAGCTACACTGAAAGCAGATTTTAAGGTTCTGGGGTGGGGACAGCCAGTCTGGTGTAGTGGTTGGTGTGTCGGACTTGCAGTGGGAAGGTGGTGGGGAAAAGCGCTATCAAGTCACAGCTGACTTATGGGGTTTTCAAGACAAGAGGTTTTCAGAGGTGGTTTGCCATTACCTGCCTCTGCATAGCAACCCTTGAATTCCTTGGTGGTCTCCCATCCCAATACCGACCAGGGCCAGCCCTGTTTAGCTTCCGAGATCTGACGAGATCAGGCTAGCCTGGGCTATCCAAGTCAGGGTGGAGTGGAAAGACCCAGGTACAAATCCTCACTCAGGCATGGAGTTTGTCAGAGGGACAGCCAAAGATTACGCTTCTCAGCCTGACCTACCTCACAGGTTGTGGTGATGATCATCATTTACACCACCTCGAGTTCCTTGGAGAAAGGGCGGAATAAAAACGTATGAGGTTCCAGCTCCAGAAAAATGTGCAAGGGGTTTCAACAGGATTTTTTTGGGTATGTTTTAATAAATGAATTGGGAAGAACATTGGACATCCCATATGCAAACATAGCTAAGCACTTCAATGGGGAAAATGTGTAGCCTGATCCTGTGCAGATTTACTTGGAAGGAAGCCCCACTCCTTTGCTCAATGGGATGGACTCCCAAGTAACTGCACATAGGGTGATAATCTTTACTTGAGAGTAAGACCTATTGAAGCTTGAAAATAATTGTCTGTAGGGTACTGGGACTTCCAAACACTCGCATTGTCTGGATTGTGCCCCACACTTCAATATTCAGGCTATATTTGTTTCTTGGGAAACTGCCCCCCCCCATATGGAAATCTAAACAAAACCCACCGGGGGTAATACATTAACAGTCCGACCCTATACAGAGTTACTTTGATATAAGACTGTTAGAATCAGTAGGCTTAGACTGGCATAACTCTGCAAAGGATCGCAGCATAAATGGCACATAAGAGTGGATCAGTTATAACTTTAGTTGCTGTAGATTTTCCAGGTTGTATGGCTGTGGTCTTGGCATTGTAGAACCTGACATTTCACCAGTAACTGTGACTGGCATCCTCAGAGGTATAACAAAGAAAGATGGAGTACTCTCTGTGTCAAGGTGACAGAGAGTACTCCGTTTTTCTGTGTTATACCTCTGAGGATGCCAGTCACAGTTACTGGCGAAATGTCAGGTTCTACAATGTCAAGACCACGGCCACACAACCTGGAAAATCTACAGCAACTAATGAACTCCGGCCATGAAAGCCTTCGACAGGTATAACTTTCTTTATACCTGCACACTTTTCCTACTTTATCTCACTGTGCTGTGGGGAAAAAAAGGCCGCAGGGAATTAGTGCAACTCCTCCACTGGGTTGAGGCCAGCAATTATTTATTTATGCCATGTGCTTGGATTCCTCATGAGTGTTGAAAAGAAAAGGAACAGGATTCTAAGCAGGTCAATTTTTGCTGGCAGAAAATGTCATCTGGGTTTGTTGCACTGTAGTCAGAGAATCCCCAGAAGGTCTGCAATAGTTCATTTACAGTCTAATGACTGTGAAGATAAAGGTGGGTGGTGGTGGTGGGATTTAAAGAACCAGGAGTATAATCAGAAGAGCACTGATTCCCTCCCACATTACTGGGGCAAGTGGGAAGAGGCATAGAATTAACAGCACCTCTTCCAATTGGGGATCCCACCTAGGGTTGCCTGCTCCAAGTTGGGAAATACCTGGAAAATTTGGGAAATACCTGGAAAGTTTGAGGAGGTTTGGGGAGGGGAAGGACTTAAATGGGGTATAATGGAACTTAAATTGGACTTAAATGGGGTATGATGCCATACAGTCCACTTTCCAAAACAGCCATTTTCTCCAGGTGAATTTGTATCTATTACCTGATCAGTTGTAATAGTGGGAGATCTCCAGCCATTACCTGGAGGTTGGCAGCACTAATCCCACTGCTCGCACCAAAAGCAAGCTTAGATGGAAAAAAAATGTTGGAAGTGATTGTCCTGGATGGTATCCCATGATGTGAAAATGGTGGGGATTGGTTTGTGTATTTAAGCAGAATTAAGTACTAAAGCTTTGGTTGCATTAAAATGAAATGGGAAAACACTGGCACCTTAGGGGCTAGTGACATTCTTTCCACCATGAGATTTTATGAGCCAGAGCATACTTCATTAGATGCAATGGCACACAACAGCTCATCTAGAATAAATCTGATAGTCTTTAAGATGTAACCAGATTTCTGTTCCATTTAGCCGTGGCAGACTCACACAGCTACCCCTCTGGATTTATTACTTTTCTGGACTTCAGCCTGTTGGTGTGTTGGCAAGGAGGAGGATGTATGTTGGCAACATCTCTATAAAAAGAATAGCATGTCAGAGGAAAGACTAGAGGGAGTTCCTGGTGTGCTGTTTTTCTTAGTGCAGGGAATATTTTTTCCCCATAGGGTAGCATTCACCTATGCGATTTCTCCCACTATCACCTGTAGCCTGAAGTGGTACAGTCCAGCAATAGCTATACCAATTGGTTTGAGCCAAATATTCAAACTGATGTTGAAGCTCTGCAAACGTAGCACAGAGGTGGAGATGAGTGGGATTTAAGATTTTTGCTCCCATGTAGGTTGGCTGGAATGTTGGATTATGTGTTCCCATAAATCAGGAGGCTCTGTTTGGGGGTAGGTGGGGAAAGAAAGTGGGGGATAGAATTAAAAGGGAAAATGGAATATACTGGTGTACTTATGGGGAGCTTCACTGTTTGAAATGCTTCCCTGTTCAGCAGTGGGCATTTGTTTAAGGAGCGTGGTGGGCGAGAGGCTTCTTTGAGCTAAAGGGCAAAATATCTGTGGATTTGCCTGCCTTATCCTCAAGAACTAGACGGTTACCATATTAGGAGCTTGAAAAACATTTCCCCCTCTAGAAACATAAGAAAAGCCTTGCTGAATCAGACCATAGATCTTTCTAGTCTTGCATCCTGTTTCCCCCAATGGCTAACTAGTAGGGTTGACAATTCTAGTTTGGGAAATTCCTTGATATTTGGGGATGGAGCCTGCGATTTGGGGAGGGGAGTGACCGCAGCAGGGTAGAACAGACGGACAAAGGCTGCGGTCACACACACTAAATAATCCACCTTCAATGCACTTTTCCAACTGGATTTTGCCAGTTCAGACAGTAAAATCCAGTTGGAAAGTGCACTGAAAGTGGATTGAAAGCGGATTATTTAGTGTTTGAGATCACAGCTAATAGGAAATACTGTTTTATGCAGCAAGTGAGTAAAATTCAGAATCTGCTGCCAGAGGATGAAGTGATGGCAACAAGAGCAAACAGGTTTAAATGGGGACTAGACGGATTCATGCAGGATGCGTCCATCAGTGGCTACTAGCCATGGTGCCTGAAGGAGAACCTCCACATTCAGAGACATTAAAGCTCTAAATCCCAGTGCCAGGAGGCAACATCAGAGGAAGGTCTCAGCCTCCATGCCTTGTTGTTGGCCCTCCAGAGGAACTGGTTGGCAACTGTGTGAGACAGGATGCTGGACTAGATGAACCACTAGTCTGATCCAGCAGGGCTCTTCTTATGTTCTTAATGCCATACAGTCCATCCTCCAAAGCAGCCATTTTCTCCAGGGGAACGGACCTCTGTAATCAGGAGCTCAGTTGTCATTCTGGGAGATCTCCAGGCCCCACCTGGAGGTTGGCAACCTTACTAAGGTGCTGCCAGCGGGCCTACAAGCAGGGGCACAGAAGCCAGTGCCTCCCCCCTGATTCTCTCTGAACATGGAGAGACAGTTAATCTGTATACTACCTCTGAACACACAGCTATCTTGGCTAGAAGCCATTGATTACCTACATCCCATGAATGTATTTAATACAT